CAAACTACCATATATACTCGAGTATAAGTTGACCCGAATATAAGTCGAGACCCCTAATTTTACCCCAAAAAACTGGGAAAACTTATTGACTCGAGTATAAGACTAGGGTGGGAAATGCAGCAGCTACTGGTAAATTTCTAAATAAAATTAGATCCCCCAAAAATGATATTAATTGAATATTTATTTACAGTGTGTATGTGTATATAATGCAGAGAGTGTGTGTGTGTGTGTATATGATGCAATGTGTGTTTGTATGAGTGCAGTGTGTGTGTTTATGAGTGCAGTGTGTGTTTGTGTATGTGATGCAGAGTGTGTAACCTTGGTGGGGGGTGGGCATTCTTCTTATTAATTTTTTTATTATTATTATTTTAATATTACATTTTTTTATTTATTTTTTACCGGTAATATTACATTTTTATTTTTTTAATATTATTATTTTTTTATTTTATTAGAATATTATTTAAATTTGTATTTTATTTTTTTGTCCTCCCTGCTTCATACATGGCCACTGTAAGTATCGTGGTCTGCGTGCCGCGCGGAGCGTGGCCATGGTGATCCGTGGCAACGCTCTGACTGCCGCGGCTCTCGCGAGACTTACAGTGGAGCTGAAAGGCACGGAGGAGAAGGGAGCTGACAGGAGCTGCAGGAAAGGTAAGTAACAGCTCGCTGGCAGCCCTCAACAAGACCGGCGGGCTTGTAATGAGCCCGGCGGTCCTGGTCTGTATTATGGCAATGTAAGTTGCCATAATACAGACATTGACTCGAGTATAAGTTGAGTGGGGGGTTTTCAGCACAAAAAATGTGCAGAAAAACTCGACTTATATTTGAGTGTATACGGTACATTTAGTGAATAGTTGAGTTATATATATTTTTTTTTATAAATGAGTCAGGTGTTGAACAGGAATTTTGTAATTCAGAATGTAACGATTAACCCTCTCGTATCAGTTCCTTTTCTTATTTTAGATAGTATTCCTTGTTATTTTGGTGCCGTGATTTATGAAAAAAAAGTAATATTAAGAAATCTTTTCACAATTAATTTTCCATATGACAAATCGAACCCACAAACAGCAAAAACCAAACAAATTTTTTTTATAAAATTTGAGCTTTTTTGCGCACAGAAATCGCGAGGGAGTTGACTTCGCACAGGCAATGGTCTGCCATAATACGATTATTTGTACGATATAAAGCATATGTAGCGGTTACTTTGTAAAGCTCTACACGCGCACTGCCATTCTACGGATAAAGGCGGCAGAATTGCATCAAGTGAACCGAATAATTTTTTTATTTTAATTGTCTGTGGAATGAAAAGATATTAATTGTATCAGTGGAAGTATTTAATTTATTCCAAGTAGCAGACTCCAGGCTGATATGGAGCCATTGATTCCATCTCCACTTTGACACTTTGAATCCTTCCTCCCCCACGTTTAGCACCCTGCCACCCCCTCCTCTGCTCGTCCATGCTTCCTTCTTTGTGGTCCCTCGGCCGGGGAGCCAATCAGAGAGCTGCCTCTTCCCTTCTCCCATATAAGGAAGCAGCCAGAGATCCCAGCAGCTCAAGCTTTGGGTAATAATTGTACCTCCCTACTCTGTACAGAGGCCTTATTAGCATGCTGAACAGGGGGCTCCCTCAATGCACCTTCACTGGGGGCTGAAAGACCTCAACTTAACTCTCTGAAGACCAGGGATGTAATGACATGAACATAATATTACTGGTCCCCAAGGGGTTATCCACTTTGCTCAGTTTAAATTAAAGTTTTACCCCATGAATAGCGATATTGCCAATAGTGGGAATTCCTGCGCCATCCCACAAAATACATGAATTCTAAATCCGATGTACGAGTTTCATAAGGAACACTACTGAATTTTATTATTAATATTTATAAAGCACCAACATGTTCTGCAGCGCTGTACAAAACTGCCCCTTTAGTTAGAGATTGTTATTAAACTTGCCTCCTACATGGTAGCCAAGGTTTTAATGATGTCCTGCGGTAGGTTAGTTTTAAAACCTTTCATTCCTAATGATATGCATTAGATTTTCACTTATTTCTTTGTAGTAAAACCTTGCCCAGTTCTACTCAGCTAATGACTGCAACAGTGCTTCCGTATTAAAATGCTTGGCATAGCTGCCAAGTGTCCCGAGTTACCACAGTACAGTCCTTGACTTTTTAATTTGGTCACCAGTGTTAATTTTCATTAGGAGAAATTCTACAATGCTAGAATAAGACGACGTATAAAATAATATGGTTTGCACTGGATTCCTCCTAAGCAACTGAGGAGTTACGAACTTGTAGTTAATTTCTCACGATATTATTTTATCAAAATGTATTAATATGATTATGCAGCACTATAGAATATGATGGAGATATACATACAACGATGGACAGGTAGAAAAATATAATTGTATGCTAAACAGGGAATTGAGGAGAGTTGCTCATTTTGGGGCAAAATAGTCAAAAATGTGAAAAAATTAATTCTCAGACTCAGCAACTTTTTTACATTTCTTATTCTTGTAGAATATTCAGAATTCCCTTGTAATGACAAATCTTGCTTCACTGAATAAAACCAGCAGACTTTTACGGAAACAAAAGATACATGCTCGCCCTATATATAATTGGTCGTGGTAATTAACACCCCAATTGGCAGATATATTGATTTGTGGATTTGGTTTTAGATTTTTTTAAATTAATTCTTTATTGGTTTGGATGCGTGTTCTTACGAGTCATTCTTTATGTCAATAAAAACAAATCTCCTTCCAGGGAAGAAATCTTGTTCCTGACTCAGTGTGCGTTGGCGTGACACAGGACGGAGTTGTATAATTAAGGGCTTCCTGAATTTCTTTGCAGTGTGGGGAAGGGAAGGCGTAAAGCCTAAATTAAGCTTCCTATGTGTCTGCCGCCTCGTGATAGCCAGATGTGACTGTCTATTGAGAAATTGTAAACGTAGCAATGCATACATTTCGCCGCAGTGACACAGACAGGACCTTTAAATAGACGGAAAAAAGGAGAAGTTTTAATTTTTTTTGTTGAGTTTTTAAGAACATCTTGCCGATGCGTCGAGCTATTTCTGAAGACCGGAAATCACTTGCTTGTGACGGTTCGCAGTGAGGTGGTCTGGTGTGGTCACTAAGCATTTCTTATTTGGTATTAGAGAAAACGGTTAATCTAAACACTAAGTGGTGAGCAGGTGACAACAGAGTTAGGAATACATATTAAACAATATAGTGTTTATTTAACGAGTAATGTAACTCACTGCAGCTTTATACACTCCCGATGGAGTCAGGTGCACCGTCCAATAAAGCCCAATAAATGACGCATATCTGGGATTTTACATTAGACTTTGAGTGGTTTATTTACCAACCTCACAGTTCACTATAGATTGAAGTGAAGTGAATATTCCTGTCAGAGTGTAACATTAAAGGGACACTGTAGGCATTATTTGATCACATTGAAGTAGTTATAGTTTCTAGAGTCCCCTAGCGCTGACTTTCCATTCAGCAATCAAATACAAGATTCAGCGAGAGTATCTTCACATTGCTGCCACCGTCATACAACTGGGACAATTTGTAATGTGACATCGGGATTGGTTTTCCTGCCATTTAACATTAAAGTCAGACAGATCCTATGTCCACCTATTTGCACATAAAGGCTGTGGTGCACAGCACAGGAAGAGTGCTGCCACAGAGGATGAATTAATCACGGAACGATTAGCTGTGATTAATTGAATGATTTCCCACTTGCAGCGTGGAAGCACTTTTCATGCACAGCCCATCAGATCACAAACGGTCTTCATTAACTATGAAAATAAAGTGGATTCTGCAATCCCATCAAACAGGCGCACGGCCCAGTGTGAATAAATGTAATAAATTAAATATATTCAGCCAATAAACACGTTAGACTATGGAAGTTGTTCATTGGTTTAAACAGCTGAGTGTATAGACAGCACTAATAATCCCTTTCATTTGGAGGGCATGTTAAAGAGCCATGTGGACAAGACATGTTCTGTAAGTGTGTTCAGTAAAAATCAGATACAAGTCATTTGTGCACGTTTTACATTTCAATCAGGTAATTAAACATTTGTTTGGGACGTTAGCGACCACATTTAATCTACTTCCCCATGAGTCCTGCACCAGTTATAACACGAGTAACCGTGTTTACAATGTCCTCCTACCTGACGCTTTGCCAGACACAAGCAATCGTTTGCCATGATCGCCCTCTGAACCCAGGAGAGTGGTGCCATGCTACAGGGGGGTGGGGGGGAGCATGCAGCCTGGAGTATGCTGGGAAATAGACAAAAGACTTTCACTTTTTAGGCCAAAGTAGCCGAGCTGGGAGGAGTACGAGACATTTTCTGATTAATTTTTGGTCTAAAACGTTCAATGCACTTGTCAATTTTCAGCAATTTCTAGTTTAGGGAATAAACTCTTCCTTTTACTAAAAACACACAGATACCTTGCACTCCATTAAATCATGGAAATCTATTTTCTGTTATTTATTTTTAATCATCCATGACCTCATAGCAACCATGAATCTCATGCTCTCTGTTATTCGTTCTTTGTGAACAGAGAATTATTCTGTTAACCCTGTGTGCGCCATAGCAATGTTTGATGCATTACCCTTCCTTCCCAACATTAGGAGCTATGAAACTGCGACGGCCGGGCGGGCCTTCTTGCGTTACTGACCACACCCTCAATTGGCGGGTCGTTCCATGAAAGGGGGCGTGTCTGCCTGGTGTCAAGCACGCCAAGTATGCAGACATCCTCGCGGCCGGCCCCCTACCTGTTTGCATGGCCCTAATACCGGCTGCACAGCGCAAGCGCGTGTAATGGTGGACTGACGCAGTGCTGCGCTCCCTGTGAATTAATTCAGGACTGCGGAGCTGATAGGACAGCTGGAAGGCCTGCGTTACCCCCCGGGACAAACACAGAGCTTTATACACCGAGTGAACATATTTAATCAACTGAAACTGAACTGCAAAATACAAACATTCTCCCACTTAGTTACGGCCGCTGCTCGGCTATTTATTACCCTGGATTTCGTCATCTGGATTTTAATTCACGGTTTAGGGATTCGGCCTACTTGCAAACTAAACATTCACTAAAATTAACTACCAGCTATTCAAAGTCAATTTCTCATTTTATGCAAAACTCGCAAGATCCATTCATTAGACCCATTAGATTTCCAATCTGGATACTTTCTCTATGTATCCCTGACAATTCACCCTCTACCCATCAATTCAAACTACACTGACTGCCATAGAGCAAGCACACGATGGATCCAACTAGGGTAAAACATTGAGCCATAGAAACGTCATCTTCTTGTAGAGCCCTCTAGTGGTCACAGGTGGAACTTTAGGTGATGTGAGTGGGCATTTGAGTTTGGGGGTCGACCTTTCTTCAATTAGTTTACAAACCTCCATGGCATCATGGGATATGTAGTACTCAGCAGCTGGAGTGTCAAAGTTTAGCCATTACAGATAGACCAGGCCAATTTTACTATTTTACCAAGTGGCCCACACACACCATCACATTTAAAATGAATTCTGTTTAATGTTTAAAAATTCCCTCTAATTGCCAAATGCACTTTTCTTTCTGAGTAACATTTGTCTTTTTTTGTGTGAATGCAATCAACCAAAAAATTCATAGACAATAGAGCAAATATCTTGCTAAAGCACGTTACGTGTGAAGAGTGTGTCCTCTTTTGTCATTTTGCAAAAAGTGCAGATTTCAATAGAAATTAATATTTATAAGTTAACCTGGTAACACCCCCTGGCTGGCAATCAGACAGCCAGTCCTGTTATTTCCTGGTTTGTTTGGGTCAGTGGAGATAAACTCAAGAGACAGCATTTGCCCAGAGCACCTGCCTTGCAAAGACTTCTCATTGAGCTGCATTGGGAAGTCTGTGATTGGACAGACACAGAAAGTCTGGGCGGGGTTAGAAGGGGAGGGCTTACAAAGGCTGCAGACAAGAGATTTGCAGCTTTTACAAACTATTTCTATATATACCTAAAAGGAAAAAAACTGCTTAATTAAATGCATGAATGTTTTCATTGCGGTATATATCTACTAAATAGCAGTTTGTATTTGGGCAGTGGAGTGTCCCTTTAAATGTGTACATCTGCACAGTGCTATATTTTTTCATACTGTATATGGGGCAAGATATGGCCAATAAGCACATCCAATCTCATACACGGGAGTCAGAAGACAAAATATCTCAATCCGAATTCAGACAATAAAGGAATCGTTCCTTCAATAAATGAAAGCATATAAATGTGGGCAGATTCACTAAATGGTCCTCTCCACAGAATCCAGCCTATAGGAGCAGATCTCCGCCAATACATATTTCATGATAGACACAATATCTACAGCGACTCACAACATGTCATGCCTTATAGCACTTAGTCATAGGCTAAGAGTTGTAAGGCACTGTGTCCCTGTGGTATCATAACATCGGCCATTGTTAGTCACTAAAGTAAGAATTCAAAGTGAATTTCAAATGTAAGGTAGAAAATAGGTGACTTGCAAAAATTCTCTAAGTCAGATATGCATTCAGTTTTGCTCCTCGGGTCCCATGATTGCTGCAATACAGAATGATGGACCCTCGGGAAATTCACAAGGACGTCGCAAATTATAGGTTACAAAAAAAGCCATTATGGAAAAATATCTAAGACGATTTTTCCCAATTTTGATAAATTTGCCAGTTTTTCACAATATCTGGCCTCCTGAATAACCTGTCTTGTTATAAACCCTATAAAATAATAGACACCCATTTGGAACAGGCAGCCTCAGAATCCAATTCATTAAATATTTTTAATTAAAGGGATTACCCTTAAAAATCCTTTTTTCCCAATCAGAAAAATGTTATATTAAAGCCCAGACACTATTATCGCCACAGACAGTTTTATAATCACATTTTTGGGGTCGCGGTGCTGTAGCCTGGATAAATGAGCCACCGCTTCAGCATTTAATCCCAGCTGCTAGGGGTGCATATATCTCTCACAAGCTAAAGCTTTATTCCCGCAGACGGATCTGTCAAAGCATCGCCCCCATTCTATGCCTTTGGTGTGGATGGAATTTGGTTCAGCTGGGTATCTGTTATCTAAAGAGAAAAAAATACCTTTTATCCATCTGGAAAGTTGATTAAAAGCTTAGCGCTTTTTCTCCCCCTGTCAGATACCGGCTCAAATAATTGCGACGCAGGACATCAGACCCAATGGGCTTTTACCGTCACTGAAGAATTAAGGGACAGATTTGAAAATGTTACGGAATGATTCAAAGTGATGACAAATTGATCTGTACATCAAGGAATTATTTTATTCATGACACTTTGATACGTCTCCAAATAGTGTTGCTGCCGTAAAGGCCAAAATACATACAAAATACAGTTTTACATTTGTCAGCGCTACTTAAAAATCACCTATCTCAGAAAACAAATTTGTTGATTCAGTTCCACCATAAGGTCATGTTGTGTTAAGCCCGTCACTACGTCACAGCACCCCAATATCTGTGTGTCTTACACTAATTTTAGGATGGGAGATTAACATGCTAACTGCAATACTTACTGGAAGCAGTCTGACACTGTCAGCCAATGAGCACACTCCTGCCTGGCGCTGATTAGTTCTGTAAAGATAAGTAAATTAAAACTGGTCACAGGGTATGTGGCTGCAAGCGCCCAACAGGTAAGTTGTCATACTGTGCTAAAGTAATTTGACTACTTCGCATGTGATGGCGTCAGAGAACTCCTTACACCATAACCACTACAGCAGGCTGTAGTGGTTATGGTGCTCAGAGTCTCAATTAAAAATTGCTTGTGCTGCGTTCTCCTTAGCCAAACATGAAGGGTTCCGCCGTGTACTCAGGTAACATCACCTGTAATGGCACCCCCACACTGACTCCAATCCCCACCTCTTCTGTCCCGACACAGTGTTGGCAGGTATTTGATAGGTTTACCCATGTGAAAGATATTCTGGTGGTACTCGGAGAACACGTTTACATCCGTCTGTCTGTCCATCTATCATATTCTAAGCTATCTGATTCCTTTGCCAATTGATTGACAGCACCCCTCTCAAACTCTGTGGGTTTAAAGAGGTGTCAGGAAACCCATGGGGTCTGTTTCAGTTCTGGAAACTCAGTGACTATAAAATGATTAATGTATTAATCCAGGGAAACGAAGCCGCAACAAATTAAGACCGAAAGGATTAATCTATTCTTCCAGAAAGTGAAGTTTGCAGCCACTTGTTCCGCTATGCAAAATTAATTATGCACCAGACTTGGCGGTCACCTCTCTGCTAGTATTTACGTGTTAATTAGATGATGGGATATAATCCTTCCACAGAAATGGTACCCGTCCATTGCAACCAGAGACACCTCGCCGATTGGGTTTCAGCGCAGTCACAGTTCCATTGGATGGGTGCAGGCTACTATTGTCTGTTTATTAATTATTCTGTAAAAACAACACGTTTTGTGATTACAGATTTATGGCACATTTCCATGTTTTCATGCAAAGCAATTTACCGTTTAGTGAATAAACCTCCCCAAAACAGCCCTGGGAAATACGGTATAATTAGCAAGTACAGGATCTTAAACAGACCTTCTCACTTACATACAACAAAGCTTCATCACCTAGCAGACAAGCTACGTGTCCTGATGCTCACAAAACAGTCCTGATTTGCAAAGTGTGCCCTCAATTATTATGTGGAAACCATTAAAAAATCCAATTAATAAATAATAAATTCACGACTGTGGAAGAACATTTATAAATCTTTGCTCATGCAAGAGAGCATTGTATGAGTTAACCCAACATTCTCCATTTCAGGGTGAATTGATTTAATATTTGAAGAAGTGTAAAAAAAAAAAAAAGGCCCCATGTTCACCAGCATGTGTGTCTCCACAACTGCCTTTAATAATGAACTAAGATAAATGAAAATTTTATTTTAATCATTTATTTAAAAACTGTGTTCCCTGTAAGAATTTTTTTGTGTGAGTAATTCAACAGTGAAATAATTAAGAGACGAATCAGTGATGAAGAAAAATTAAAACCTCTCTATAATTTGTGGAAAATATCCTCAATGCGGACTGTACAGAGTTTCCCACAAAGATTTGTATCCTAAAAATGTAAGTGCATCATCGCCCACAAAATATTTTTATAGGTAACACTTCGTAGAGCCTGCTGAATCGTAAGCTCTAAACATTACATCTCGATTTATTTATTAGGATCTGCAGAGTAATGTAAAATGGTTTTCAGGTGACACTTTGACTCTTCGTAAAAAGGATGTCAAAATGTCAGGGTTCACGACAGCCATCAATTTCTATTTACCACCAAAACCAAAGATTTCATTTTCTTTGGAGAGAATAAAGCTCCATTCTAGGGAGTAAGTTTCCATACAGAATCCGTCTTACAGTCTTGTGCAGAGGCCTGTGTGTAACTCAGGAAGCCACGGGCTGTGAATGGGGGCCATTCAACCATAAGACACAGAGCCACTTGTTCCATCAAGGACTACTGTCTGAGGCCTACTTAATGGCTGACCCCCCCTTACTCTCTCAACTGGCAAGAAGAAGGACATCAGACACTTGTCCTTCAACCCTTCACAGCTCTTAACTGCTTCAGCTGCCCCTCTCTTTGTTTTGCTTATTAAGTTCTTTGAGCAACAAGACTATTGCAAGTAGAAAATATGACATTTTATTCTGACAGAGGGGACAAGACGTCCTCAGTGATAGCTGTGTTTCACTGGGCGATAATCTCAGCTCTTGTAACAAAGTCCAAGATTTAGTGTCACAACTGTGGCAAAACAAAGTTTGGTCCTCGCACAACCCAACAATTAGGCCATTGTGAGGTTTAGAATTTGAATACCTTGTGGCGAGGCCTTTTTAGGTATTGACTCAGCTCTGTAACAATGTATTTATTAGCAAGTCGAAATCAAATGAAGTTCGGATGCAGAGTTTTAGTAATCTCTTAAAATAAATGTGTTCTAATATTTTGCTGAGGACATTTGATCTGATTTTTAACATGAAGACTCAAATCTTTGCAGACAGTGTAAATCCCTACAAATACTGACACAGGAGGGAGTAATCTACTAAAAAAAAAAAAAAGCACGTTATGGTGAAATGCCCAAATACAACCGCGAAAATAGAAGGCTATCCTTAAATTCCTGCATAGTAGAACCAAAAAAATGTCCCTCAGCAATGGCAGGTATTTAGACAAAACATGGATCGAGAGAGTCCTTTGTAAATATTAAAATTAGGAAGAAGCATCGTCGCAGTGTGAATGTCATTAACATTTTCTTATCTTTCTTGT